ACCTCAAGGCTCATTCTCTTCTATTTGGGGATGTTTGGCCTCTTCCACGAACGAGGGCGTCGCCATGCGGGGAGGAACTTGGAAGAAACTCACAAATACAAGGGTGGCAATTACTCAAACCTCCGCACAGCTGGATTCAAGAATCCCTTCCTCTACAGCCACTTCTCACCCCGGGGTACCAAATACAAAAATCGATATTCCCAGGCAGTCTCTCATCCAAGTACTCACCAGGCTCGACCCTTGTTTATTCTTCGAGATGCAGCAAGATCGGGCAGGTTAAAATTAAAAAGGTCCCCCATCTAGGCTCTACGGACTGTTGGGGGCAAGTGCTGTTAGCGAGGCCGGAATGGCACACGAGAGGGAGGGTAGGTGGCCAACACCACGCCCGGCCCCACCAGGGCAGTGCCAGACTAAGCTAGTGGGGGGCCTGTAGCATATGATGTTATAAAGGGGCCCTACATAAAAAAATACACAAAAATATTAAAACACACAAATGTTTAACTTGCACAGTAAAGTAAATTGTATTTTTTTTCATTCACTATACAGCCAGATAATACGACAAATCGCTAACCTTAAACACCCAGTCGTTCATAAAAGTTGGAAGGCGGTATAGTACTATAGTAATAGAGCATGTGCAAAATCACGGAACCGGAATTGATAGCTCGAAAGCATTTAGCGCGGGGCCCTTGTAAGTGCGGGGCCCGTAACATATGTTGCTACTTTTGCCACTAGGATAATCCGGCACTACACCAAGGTACACATTTAGGTTTGAGTCGACCTAGGGGAGGCCCAGGAGCGGCTCAGATATTCGCCACCAATGCCGGCTGTCAGCGCGGATCGAATTCGGGTCGCCCGGTTCGTAGTGCAGTGCCGCTATCCACGACCCTATCGGTTGCATACAAACTGACACACACACACAACAAGAGCACGTATCAACACAGACAGTCGTCGCATGTGGTGTAAATTAATGGAGTGAACTTGCTTTTCAAGCTTTCAAGACTAAGCTTGAAATCGCCAACGCATTGCTTTGTCGGCTCAATCGTCTCGCACAGAAGGGCGATGACGAGTGCACGTGGAACGTTGGGTCAACGTTCGTCCAACTGTTCCAACGTTGGCACGTTTACTGGGATAACTCTCTCTCTCTCGTAAAGACGTTTGCGTTGCGATAAAAGGACTTGTCCTTAACAGCACAACGTGGCAATTTTTTTTTATTATCAAAAGGGTTCTTCCTAAAATTCTGCAAACAAAAAAACAGCGCTAAAAGGAATCTAAACATTTTCTTTCTACCCCGCCTATGATACCTTGTGACGTCACCTGGAGACGTCCACGTGATGCGTGCGCGCGGCTTGAAGAGTAACGCTCCTTTCTCGAATCGACACGTGCGTGTTGGAGGGTGTTACGAAATACTTTTGTACGCAGGATTTTTCATTCTTGTATTTTTAAAGGGGAGGGGAGGGCGAATGTGTATGCAGTATAAACCCACAAACAGGGGTTTGTTTCATCGTCAAAAATGTAGATGTTTACTGTACAAGTCCATCGGGTTGTCGACCTTCTGCGCATTGCATTGCTTTGGGCGCCACAGTTGTGGAATGTCAACTCCCTCGCCTGGTGTACAGGAGGTCTGTGTCTCTCTCTCTCATCATCATCACGGTGGATAGGAGATGTTAACTCCCTCGCCTGGTGTACAGGAGGGCGTGGGCTCGATCCCTACCCTGACGCCTGCTGTTTAGTTGTAGTGTGCGTGTCTCTCTCTCTCTCATCATCATCACGGTGGCTAGGAGATGTTAACTCCCTCGCCTGGTGTACAGGAGGGCGTTGGTTCGATCCCGACCCTGACGCCTGCTGTTTAGTTGTAGTTTGCATGTTCTCCCCGTGGCCGTGTGGATTTTAGAGTATTTCGCTGCTATAAATTTCCACACGATAAGCCACTTCATTGAACTGTAATTTATGATAGACAGGTCGCATCTGACAAAGAGCTATATAGCTCAGTGGGCCTTACCTGGTAAAATAAAAGAACACAATTTAGTATAAGTCTATATAGGTTTCCAGCAGCATTTTTTTCAAAGCAGACAAACCCCTGCATCGGATTTTGTATCTCGGATAGCCCTTTTCCACTGTGCAACCGAGCCGCGACAGGGCCGTGCCGAGCTGGCTTGGCGCTGCCAGGTTATTGTTCTTTTTTCCACTGCTCAAGCCGAGCCGTGCCGCTGACATCAAGTCCCGAGCCGAGACGCGCGTGTCGATAACGCGTTGGTGCTGCGTCTTCAACAGCGTTCACAAACTGACGTCACACACAATTAATGGCGTAAGTCGTGAGACCACGCCCAATGTGGCCCTGCTTGGCCCGGAGGTAGATTCGGACGTCTTCTCATGTTTAGTTTTTGGCTCGATTTGACAAATAGGCAGCGGAATACCACCCGTAGGGTGACGTCGCTGTGCCGACTCGGCTCGGACAAGGGCTGCGAGGGCTACGAGCAGGATTGGGCTGGTTTTTAAAACGAATGTTGGTCTCGGTGTATACAATGTCAGTTGACAAAGTAACAGGAGATTTCACATTGTTGCTCACATTCCACAAGGCCTGCATCAACACACACACACAAAAACAACTCAAGAATACAATCGGCGTTGTATTTAATGAAAAGGAAATGTGTGCATCGGGGGTTGCACTCACCTTTGTAGAGGTGGTGGTGGGAATTCTGCATTCCTATCGCGGGAGACACGGCTACATATATAGGACAACCACGATAGGCAAGTCCTCGCTTATGGCACGTTCACACAACGCGTTTTCGGTATCACGCCTCCGATTAGCACGACACGGTGCGAAAGAAGTTCAACATACATACTTAACGCGGGTTTTCCCATTCGGGACAACACATTTCGCACGAGGAACACAATCCCATTATAACGCGGTGCACGCCCCATTATAACGCGGTGCACGCCCCATTATAACGCGGTGCACGCCCCATTATAACGCATTGCACGCCCCATTATAACGCGGTGCACGCCCCATTATAACGCATTGCACGCCCCATTATAACGCGGTGCACGCCCCATTATAACGCGGTGCACGCCCCATTATAACGCATTGCACGCCCCATTATAACGCATTGCACGCCCCATTATAACGCGGTGCACGCCCCATTATAACGCGGTACGCGCCCCATTATAACGCATTGCACGCCCCATTATAACGCGGTACGCGCGTCGTTATTGCGTGCAATGTGCCCGCTACAACTCGGCAGCTTCTGAGTGGTCGACACCAAACTTCTTAATTGCGCTGCACGGCCGAGCGGACTGCTACAGTACGCGGAATGGCACAGCAACGCCGCGGTGCACCCTCAATGATTTGTGCCGCCATTCTTACCACGTGCGCACAGTAGCACATCGTATTTCGACAAACGTAATCGTTGCATTATTTACGGGGGGGAGGGGGAGGTTTCGCTTAACGCGGCACTTTTCAGGAACGCATCTACTACCGCGTTAAACGAGGCATTGCTGTATCGACTTCCCACAAAGTGCAACTCGTGTTTGCGAGGAGCACGTTGGGGGACGTGGGTCGAGTCGACCCTCATTCGTGATTTGCTATTTTGTTGTTGTTGTGTGCAGTCACTGGTGACTGGGCTGAGATAATGGAGTCACTACACTTGCGAACATTCTTTACTCGCAGTTGGCAGAAACGTGGCATACGGAACCCAGAGTCTGAGTGGTACCAGCTCAGGGTCTCAGTGGTGTCAGGGTCTGAGACCCAGGGTCTCTGGTGCTAGCTCTTCCCACTAACCTCTAAGCGGCGCAGAAGCCACCGCCTCCCTTCCTACATATGTCAAAATCAGAATAATAAGATTTATTATACTGGAGGAATCTGATGAGCTATAAAGCTCTTTTTCACAAATTGCTTGGGCTTCACAAAGACGTCTGTCTGGACTAAATTTTATGTGCACCGTGTGGGTGTTGAATGACAACCTAGAGCCGACTTTAAGGGTCGTTGTTTAACACTTTAACTGGACATTCGTTGATAACACGGCGCCTTCAGAAGGGAAAATATAAATGAGAAAAGTTTCAGGAACTGGTCCGCTCCACACGAGGGGATAGAGCTCGCAGATTCACACAGATGGGTTCGTTACAGTTTTCTGTATGACCATCTTGTGGTCAACACATTACTAAGTTGCAGCGCGTATACCATTCTCTGGCGCGTGTCATGACCGGTACTGCAAGATCCGACCATGTCTGTCGAGCGTTCGCAGAGCTGCGTTGGCTTACGGTTGCTGAACGAATACATTGAGGCCACACTCATTAAAAAAGTTCTTGCCGCAAATGAGCCGCAATACCTTGCTGATCAAGGAGCATAAACCATCACGCGGCTTTTCACTGGCCATCGAACAATGACGGTTCACTGCAACGCACGCTTTCAGATGCGCTTCTGCGGCCGTCTGGAATGTTCTTCCTTCCGATATCAGAAAGTCACTGGAGTTATGCACTTTTAAATCTACCTAGAAAACTCATTTCTTCAGAACTACTTTTCTTTGCCAGAGGGCCAAATGAGGCTCTGGATTACTTTTGGCAGAGCCACACATTAATACACACACACGTACACGCACATTGGAGTTCTCAAATGACACGTAAAACAACCTGCATGTTGACCGAGTATAATGAGGCCCTTATATAACCATGCGATGACTCGAGCGTGCAAACATGAGAAACGGCCTTGTGTTCCCAGGTTAAAAACAAACCCAATTAATGGGTGCTGGAGGGGGCCCATAGCCTCGGGCGGCTATGGGTTCCGCGTGTGAAGTCCGGCGCAGGTTCGCAACTCTACTCGAGGTCATTGCAGCACGGCGAGTAAAGAGTTGCGCTCCTGGTAAATGTGGCCAAACTCTGGTAACAATCGTTTAGGGTTTAAAAAAAAAACTCTCCTCGTTCAAACAGCCTCGGTACACAGCCACCTCGGACTTCCCACAACCTAGACAAAAGGTTCCGATTAAAACGCAACAGCCGTTAACAGCGCAGTTCAAAATACAGAACATTTATTGAGATATATACTTATTATAATCAGTGTACATAATGCTTACAAAATATAAATCGCACGACTGTTTTAAAAAAAAAAACACACGACCCAAAATCCCGGACCGACAAGAGCACACGCGAGGTGTCAAGATGCACGACAACCTTAACGACTCCCCGTCAGTGTCAGGGAAGGTGTCGAAGGCGATGAGGCCACCCACCCACCCACCCACTTCAACGTTGCCAACGTTGGCTGGGACGGTTGACCCAGTGGGCCAACAACACGCCGGCGCCCAACACGCTGCACGTTATACCGAGCAATCGGCCGCCACGGAGACCTCGCGACAACCGTGAGCGCTTGCAGGGCCTTGAGCTCTGGGAGACGAACCGTGACCGACCACTCAACCTGCACCCCCCCACCGGGCGGTCCAACGCTCCCGGTTCGATTGACGCCACGTGGACCGATTCGCCGCCCATGGTTTGTTCGGTCAAGTTTAAAATATTATTCCTCTCGCCGGACGACAAAGCACGCACCATGACACCAAGAGGTGAAAACACAACCGAATTTATCCGCAATGTCATTATTACGCCTCCGTCACACCCCCAAATCATAAATCAGTCTACTTCAATTCACCTTAATATTTTACGATTACAACGGTACTTACTTTATAGACTAAATTGTAGGTATGAAGATTACACACAGACGAGAAAAAGGGGACTCCTCTACAAATATCATCACCATAATATACGTTACACAAAACACGGTGTAATTGCGGTTGCAAACCACTTCGAGAGGAACAACAAAAAAAACGCCACCCAAAGAACCCGAACCGGCTCGTCTCTCGCCGCGTGATCCGGATCGTCAACCCCCACGCACGCGAGACTGAAGCTTCGCGAGCAGAAAGGACCAAAAGAAAATCGACTTTCAGGTGGCACCAAAACATCGTCACAAACGGTGGCAGCGGACGCCACATCGCCAGGGCGCTGCGGGCGGCGATCGCGAAAGGAGACTTCGAAGCCTTTTTATTTTTAATCTCCCCCTCTCTTTAACGAAGCTTAAAAAAAAAAAAAAGCCAGGTCAGGTCAGACAGCCGTGGCTCCGGGTACACGCGGAGCGCGTATAGCGGCAAGGTAACAGTCGTTGGGTCGCGTCGTCGTCGTCGTATGTACACACGCGCTAGAGACAGAGACAGCCATCACGGGAGCTGCGGTGTCGCAGTGCTCAGATTTGGGCAGCACGTTTTCACGATGGCAAATCGGAGTCAATTACTTAATCCCTCAAACAAAATCATAATTGGGTTTAAAAACAAGGTAGAACCCAGCCCCACCCCCTACCGCCACCCCCCCCCCCCCCCCCCCCCCACGAGGTTCGGTGGTCTTCTTCCCGATGATCGCGAAAACGAAAAATTACGGACGACCGTTCTTTGGCACGATTTAAACGAGCTGCGGTGACCACAAGAACGAACCAAAACGGTTGATGGTCGCGCGCGCGCGGTAAACGTGCAACGCTGGGGACATCCAACGTTGGCATGTGGCTGGAACCGTTGCTGGGTAGAGACCCACACCGCCATCTCCCCCCCCCCCCCCCCCCGCTCACCTGAGCCCTGACGGTGATAACTGGGCACGCGTTTCTTGCAAACCGATGTCCAAAACGCGACCGTTACAAAGGTGTTTCAACCTTCGCGAGTGGCTTGCGAATTGACATCCGGGTGGCGTGCCATCACGATGGGCTACACATCGGCAACAACTGCAGCACCACGAACCGGACCGCGGTGCTTCACAGTGCGGCGACATCACCGGAGTGCCGATGGAAGGAATTGGAAATTCAGCCGCATGAGGGATCGCTTCCTTGCCCCATCCTCACCCCGCAAGTCCTCCCCTTCTCCCTCGTGATGGGTTTCTTGCGCCTACTGAAGCCGATTGTGACTCGTGGAAGCTTTAGACTCGGGATGACGAAGCTCCCTTAGATTATAGTTAAATAAGATCATTTGGTGTGACAACTAGTTGTAATGAGTATACAAAAGGCGTTCGTGTCTATGTGGGGGTTATAATGCGATGTGTTGGGGACGTTCTGGAAATGGGCTCAACAGCTGGACATACAAAGAGCTCTCCAATGCGTGTTCAGGTCACGCCATGCATCATTGGGCACGGTGTCCAACATTTCGAGCCCACGTGCTCACGGGACCGAATTGTCGGACATCGTGTCGAACAACCCGAAAATCGCATCGGAGAGCTAGAACGGCACAACCGCGATAACACTACCTCCCTTAGCTGTACACATCCTTTATTAAAGACGCCGTTGACGTACCGGTACAATAGTGTTCTCAAAATACCGCCGAGTAAACATGGAACGTTGGTCCAACGTTGAGCCAACGGTTGCACGTTCACTGGGTGGATGTTATGCCGCTCGCCATTAAATCAGCAGCGGAGACGCACAACCAACAGAGGCGAGTGGGGTCAGGCGAGTGGGGTCAGGCGAGTGGGGTCAGGCGAGTGGGGTCAGGCGAGTGGGGTCAGGCGAGTGGGGTCAGGCGAGTGGGGTCAGGCGAGTGGGGTCAGGCGAGTGGGGTCAGGCGAGTGGGGTCAGGCGAGTGGGGTCAGGCGAGTGGGGTCAGGCGAGTGGGGTCAGGCGAGTGGGGTCAGGCGAGTGGGGTCAGGCGAGTGGGGTCAGGCCGCGACGAGTGTGCCGGGCACGTGGGAAGGCTGTCAGTTGGAAGAGGGTTGTTTAGCCGGTGGTGCAGGAAGTTCCCTCCGTGATGGTTGAGCTGGTGTCCTTATGCGACCGTGTACAGGTACATGGCTCCACTGAGAACGAAGAACTGCAGACCCGGCACCACACGTACAGGCACGCGCACACACGCCACAATGAGACACGCACACACAAGCCACGTTAACGGAAAATCATTACAGCAATATAATAACAAATACAAATCACGAGCAAGGACATTTTTTTTTGTCTGGCCAATTCAATTATTGAGCATTCTTAATGCTGCTGCTGCTACTGCTGCAGCTGACGACTGCTATACCGTTGATGGATGATAACAATGGTGAAAAACAATGATGGTACAATGCATTTGGTGATAATCCCAATGATATGGTTGGCGATTGGTGGTGGCGATGACAACAATCAGGACGACGTTTACTGCGACGGCGTTTGAGCGACGCAGCATCCAGCACGTACCGTGAAGCAGAGGATGGCGAATCCGAACCAGGCGACGCCCCACGTGTAGCGATTCACGGCCGCGCTGAAGTAATCGAAGCAGCCCTGTGGGGATGCAGTCACCGGCGTTATTACCTCCGGTGCACAGCGAGCAACTTGTTGGGGTGGTGGCCAGCCCCAACCACCCTCAACCCCCCCACCCCACCAAACCTCATTTACCAGCGGGAGAGCTTCAGACTATCCCAGAGGTTATTTAGAAGAATAATTGCGGGTTGCGGCTCTGCAGCTGCTGGCGGAAGTTGCCCGGCAACGTGGAGGGGGAAACGTTGGGACGCCGTGCCAGACACCGCACTCGCACGGTACGACTCCAAATTGCATCGCAGCGAGGGAGCACCAGGGTGGTCGCTGGCGCAGGGCACGGTGGGCCGACAAGCGGCATCACACCAGTTCACCGCTCGCACCTTCAGGGGAGGTTTCAATGTACAGGCTGAAAGAAATCAGCTTAAATCGAAAACTCATTCCGTTAAAACCGCCTTCTGTTGTTGGCCTCTCCCCACACCTCCGATGAGCACGCTTGGCTACGTACGGTGCGAAAGGCGTTCAACGTATCAGCTTAACACGTAGGCTTTCATGACCAATATTATCCACAAGAGATTTGTGTTGTTGTGGGTTTACCCTGCAACACATCGGTGCGCTGAACAAGTAACTAATTTGAATGTTTTGTTTACATGACGGACCTTACTAATTGGCTGTCGGGTGGTGGCAGGTTTTTCAAGACATTAAAATTTACGCGATCCAACCTAAAAAAGTCCACTGTTGTGAAGTTCCACATACATATGAAAGATAATTCGGGTAAATAGGTTTAAGGGGGTAGGCAGCTAAACTCCATCAGCACTGCACAACCCCCGCACCGTCCATAAAGAGCACTTGGAGCGACACGACCGTTACAGAGCGCCACAGCGGCTCGGAGATGTTAACTACCTCGCCTGGTATACAGGAGGTCGTGGGTCACGATCCAGACCCTGACACCTCGCTGTATATTAGGAGTTTGTTTCTCTCTCTCTCCGTGGTCACGTGGATTTTTCTCCAAGTGCTCAGGTCCCCCCCCCCCGCTATAAATGTCCACACGATGACAAGCCAGTGGGGGCGGGGGGGGGGGCCTTTACCGGGTAAAAATAAAAATTCTGTTTAGCACTCATCCCGGCGCGAGCGACGCGATGGCCGCCGTGCCTCCGTCCTCACCGCGGTGTTCACGTATCCGTCCATGCCGAGCCGGCAGTAGGTGATGTTCAGCGGCGGACCGTCCTTGCTCAGCACGCAGCAGTGCATGGGCCACGGGAAGTTGACGTCGTCGTTGTTGTGAGCTTCGGAGAACTTGGAGGTGTACATGAGCCAGTCCGTGGGACCGTTGGAGCCGCAACACTTTTGCTGTGTTTGGCACGCAGACGTTCAGGGGGTGCCGCACAGGACGGAAAAAATGATGAGTGGACGGACAGAGAACTTGATGGATATACAGTTGTACGGATGGACAGCTAAACGAACGAAACAAAAACACACACACGCGCACACACACACAATGCAACCCCGGCATTGGCCAAACATCCCGATGTTGAAAGATTACGCCGCAAATTACTCAATTGGGATTACACACGGCAGCAACTTAGCTACTGCCCCACCACCTAGCCCCCACCTCTCCCCCCACTCCAAAAACAAAACTTTGCAGGACACCATCTGAAATAAAATAAAAACTTCTTGAGACTCGGTGGCTTTCCCGAGTAAATAACCAAAGTACTAAAATAATAAGAAAAAAAAACAACATTAAGTAATGGACAGAGAGACGAGTTCTATCATTCGCCCTTGCCCTAGTGCTATTACAGTATGTGGATATCGAGTGACTTGCAGAGATTTGGGAGGCGTTACCACAGTGGGTTTCCAGATCGACGCGACATTTTGTACACAGCGCAGGCGTCAAAGCACACTGTGCTTGAGCTTAAAAAAAATTCAACTGAACTTAAACTTTTTATTTACCAGGTAACACCGACTCGGCTACGTAGATCTTTTTCAGAAGCGACTCGGCCACTAATGATAGCTAATCATGGAGCGACTCATCACGTGGACATTTAGAGCGGCCATATACTCTGAACGCATGCCGATTCTACGTGTGGAGGGACAAAAACCGGACGACCCGGAGAAAAATCCACGCGACCACGGGGAGAACGTGCAAACTCCATATATACAGGCGTCAGGGTCGGGATCGAACCCACGGACTCCTGTATACCAGGCGAGATAGTTAACATCTCGCCACCGTGGCACCCATATACAACAGGGTGCTTACTTTTTTTACCCTTATATGGGACTCGTTTTTAATGGAAAAAGAACGGACAATACACCGTAACATGACAACACATGCATCATTGTCAACGCGTGCCTGAAATATTCTCCAGGTGGTCTCCAGAGCCCGGTGGCACATTTCTAGTGGTATTGTTACAAATTCTCCGTAGCGTTAACATTTTTTTGAAGCACCATGTACATGTGTAATGACAGAGCGACACCTGCCGGACTAAAGGGGTAATTGCGGTCATGGCTGCATTACATAATGCCTTATCATAAGGGGGGCGTGTCTGGGGTAAAGGTGAAGGGCGGAGTCAGTCGAGAAGCTCCGGGAACCAGCCCGAAGGTTCTGGACAGGGGGCGTGGCCAGGGGTGGAGCTTGGCCACGCTAGGCAGATATAAGGGGGACCGAACCAGAGGTTCGGGGCTGTTCTGTGGGACCTGAGTCCTGGGACGCTGCTCGTCATCATCTCTTCGTCTCCGACCACGTGGCTGTTCTTCTGCAAGACCGTCTCCGTCACCGCCGCTATGCTAGTCAACCAGCCAGCGTAGTGCAGGACGGAGATGGGCTGCGTGTTAGGGTCGCCCATGTGTAGCTGCGTTACGAAGTGTATCGCCACATGTGCTCTTAATAAATAAGAAGCCTTCTACTCGACGTGTCTGGGAAGTCACTCAACTACATGTGTGTGGTTCACCGCGACACCTCGCAAACTCTTTGGACGCATGCCGCCCCTACTCGCAAAGCCGCTGCAGCGTCGCGATCGACAATCGGAAAGCCCCAAATCTTGAGAATCGTTGACAAGTTGTCAATATCGGGGCAGACATCTTCTCGCCGACCTGACCAGGGGCCTCGTTTGCCTATCCGGGATCCATCAAGCCACCAATAATAATAAGTTGTAGTTGAGTATATTTGATATTCGCGCCATTCATACAGCAGGGAGACTATCACGAAATGCGACTTTGCCGTCCTCTAAAGTATTATTTTTTTATTTTTAAATGATCCACCCAGAGTAGTATATGGGGGCGATCGTACCGCGGCAGCTAAAGCATTCTGGGCTCGGCTGGGGCGTGGGGCAGGGGGGGCCATGGGGGCCAGGGGGTCACCGGCTCTGGCCATCAACAAGACTCCAGATGAGGGCGCAACGCTGTCGCTGATCGACCCGACGGAAGAGCCCGGCCATCGGAGCGATCCGGTGGATGTATCTCTCCGCCCCGCCCCTCTTCACCACAGCACCGTGACCACGCGTATGGCGTGGCCGTGGCTCACCTCTCGCATAAACATGTTCCACGTGTCCGTGTAGGCTGGGTAGGTGTCGCTCGGGTACTCCGTCAGCATCTGCTTCAGCAGGAAGTTTTGGTCGCCCACTAGCTGTGAGGGGTAGGGGCGGTGTGGGTGGACGAGATAGGGAGAGGAGCAAGCGACATGGAATTAAAAGGATGGTGGCTCGCACGGATGAGAGGTCACGATGCCTCCCCCCCCACTCCCCGCAACGCGCACGTCGCTTCGCTATTTAGGAGGCGGGTAACGTGTGAACGCATCACTCCAAACATTTCATAGCTCAGTTCGGAAAAAAAACCAGGAACACTCCACCATCCCCCCCCCCCACTCCAAAATTACACACTCGTAGGGGTCTAACAACGTAGCTGGAGCATCTCGGCATGGTCGGCTACGTACGGTGCGAAAGAAGTTCTACGTACATAAGAAACAAAGCTTTTGGTTCCCATTTGTGAATAACCCCACCCTTGCTGCTGGCATCATCAACTTCACTATGAAATGCCTACGGAAGGAGATGATGCCAGCCCCGCCCTCTCTCGTGACCAGCACCACACCGGGATGCCTTTGTCTCCCCAATGCCGAATGTTTAAACACACTGCACCAGGCATTCATTCGAGGCCAAGCCGACCTAAAGGGGAGAGGGGACCAAGAAGGGTGTGGACATATAGATCCATCACCGATGTTGGCCGCGAGTGGGAATCGAACCCAGGTCGCCGGGTGCGCTGCACAATGCACCAACCACTACATTGCCACCATTCCACACACACAGGCACGTGGAGAACACTCACGTAGTCTCGTTGCGTGAACGAGGTGATGCAGGACGCCGACTCGAACGCGAAGACGATGAGCATGCATACGATGTACTGCAGGCACGGGGGGGGGGGGGGGTGGGACACACAGACGCACACCCAGGTGAGAGGGACACACAGACGCACACCCAGGTGAGAGGGACACACCAGGTGAGTGCAGGTCCTTGCGTAGGCAGGTGAGCGGCTATTGCCTGGGTGAGGATAAATTCGTTGGGCTGGCAGGGTGGCCCACAAAGTCAGGGCACATGGAGTTGTTTAAAATGTTTTAACAAATGTTCAAACTAAACTTCCATTCATATTAATGCATGCAGGATATCTCTTTTGAAATTAATTTAGTACGTTTTTTTAAGATCACAGGTGTGATCTTTGAACATTCATCAATTGTGGTTTTAGGTCTCAATTCATTCAGTGGCCCTTGCTCAAGTTTTCTAAGCGACAGATTTGAGGTGACACCACAGGAAGGAGAAAAATAGATCTTAATTACGATAATCGATAAAGTATTAACTTTAACAAACAAAACTAAAATGTTTTAATCCCAGCGTTCAAATAAATCAAATAATACCCTAAGGCGCCCTTCACTTTGGGGCCACCCTGCATTATAATCAACGTCGGTTCTCTCCTGGTACACAGTTCTATTGGGCGACCGGAGAAAATCCTTCTCGGGAGCGAGCGCTGGGGCCCCAACGCGCGAGCGAGCAAGCGAGCGAGCCGTACCCCGAGCAGGAGCTTCCGTGTCATGCGCAGCGCGGCGACGATCCCCACGAAGCCCAGCAGGAAGAACGCCATGCCCGTGAAGATGGCGATCCACGCGCCGGCGAAGACGTCGTCGTTGTGCGCCATGCCGAGGATGGGGTACACCTTATAGCCATCGGTCACCACCCAGATCGTCTCGGCGGTCAGCGTGATGCCACACAGCTGGGGCGGTGGAGGCGGTGGGGGAGAGGCAACACAGAGGGAAATAAGAGCGAGGCAAACAGAATCAGAACCGGAATGTTTATTTATACTGGATGAATCTGATGAGCGAGAAAGCTCTTTTTCAGAGATGTCCAGTTGAGCCTCCCAGTTTCTCGAGGAGGCTCAACTGGGGACACACGGGGAGCTGACAGCCACGCCCACTTTTGCGTAGCCATCGCCCACGCACTCGCGAGCACCGTCCCACGCGGTGACACAGTGAGAGACCGTGACACCTCCTCGCTCTGTCCGACTCGTTCCTCATTGCGACCGGTGACCGAGCCGAGACCAGCAATCTCACCGACTGTGCTTGAGAACCGGTTAACTACTCTTTGGTTTTATTCGGTAAAGTCACGTAGGTAAAACAAAATAAAATAAACAATTAAAACACGCCGTGCAGCGATTTTGGCTGTGACTGGTCCCACCTGAAGACGGAAGCTTGCGTTGCCTTCGAAACGTCGTGTTTCAATTGTTTATTTTATTTTAATTTGTTTTACCTACGTGACTTTACCGAATAAAACCAAAGAGTATGAATCCTTGCAGTCACGAAAGCTTCAAATCTAGAACCGGTTAACTATATATTTTTTATTTTTAAAACGATGTTGTTTTTCTTACCTCCAATTGCACCAAGTCTTGCTACCAGTGTCGTGTCACTAAATTCAATGCAGCTAACGGAGGGGGCGTAATTTCAACCCAGGGACGGTGCATGTCGGCAAACTGGAAATAATTTCCGCACCATGCACACCACGTCCAGTACACCCTCTTGCGATGGATGTGATTACTCTTCGCATGCTTATTCCAGTCGACCAGCGAACCGGAAAACATCGAGTGAGAAATAGTCCTGGCCCAAACAAAACCCATGCCCAACCCTAACAATGAAAAAAGATTCGTTGAATAAATGACAGCGATTTTTCCTCTTCTTCCAAACATCAAAACCATTGGTGGTTCACGTCATAACTCAACATTTTCCTGCGGCAGGTCTGAGATTTTACAAAACGGACGATACAATTACCACCAGTCTTTAATCACATGCTTAACATAGCAATAGCACTGTGTCATGGTAAGAGCGCTCGTAGAACATTTTTAAGAGCCACAGTTGCAGCGTTTGGTATTTAAGGACAGACCGGTCGGACGACTAACTTTGCTCTCCAATTCCTCCCCAATGCGTTTTCATGCCGACGTTTACAGCGAGGAAAAAAACTAAGACAACACACAATTTTGTTAAAAAGATGTACTGTGATCCAGGGTACGGTTCATAATGGCCATGCCGGAGCACCCAGCTGGGTTCTAATGCAGTCGTGAGCTGCTCGCGATGAAACCGGTGTCTCAAGCGCACCGCACCCGTCTCCTCTCGGTTCGCTGTTGACGTCATTAAGAGGGGGCCCACCCTTTTGTGGCTTGTGTGGTTTTTCACTTAGATAAATTTGTTCCAGAATAATAAAAAAGCGCAGTTTGATCGTCACGTAAGGCAACACCTGCGGAGGAGAGCACGCGAGAGACAGCGAGCGCGGGTGAAGAGGCTTAGTGATGTGGACGCGCAATGCCGATTCGGAGTCGATTGAAATGAGAACTGAACCAAGCAATGCATCACCAAAGTGTAGTGCACAAAAAATACTTAATCAGGAATCTATTTTTTTACAACCGAATTCTTATCGGGCCCAATCAAATACTATTTATCTGACTTAGCTCAAACTTCCCATAAATCACGTGACTTCTGTGTGGGGATGACGATGGGTTGGTGTCTTTTTAGAAAGCCAACTTTTATCAGAGGCATTCATCCAGCAGTGGATGGATAATGGCTTATGATGATGCTTCCGTAAATTTGATTACATTGCAGTCGTCGAAACAGTCACAACTATTGCAAGGTTGAGAGTTCAAAATTCCAGTTCGGGCGTTGTCGATCCAGCCCACAGTCCCTCGAGGGTGAATAAATGTAGTACCTCTGAAATATCAAGACCTATCTCTTATGGAGCGGCTCAGCCCCGAAATAGGGGGTTTGAAAGCTCCGACTCAGCGCTGTGAAATGGGGAAATGAGCATTGCTGCCCCTCTCTTTAGAGACGGAAATTGCTTTTTTACCTTTTAAGGATGAATAGCTGGATGTGGCTACACTGCACACTTCTGCGATCTATTTGCTTGAGATTTGTAAAAAGCTCCCCGACCCTCTGGCACTGTGCAGTCGTCACTGACGGCAGTGTAGCAGCAAGTGGGGTTTCCAGGACCCATGTGTATGGAGCGTTGAGAGTCTCGTCTGCTTGGGTGCATGGTGGGATTTTTCTCCACCACGTGCCCTGGTTTTCTCCCACATTATGCAACTCTAGCAAATAACAAAAAAAATTGGCCAAACACGGTGACTTCAGCAGCGATTCTCCTGCAAAAATGAAACTCAGTAAGGCTTTCCTCGGGGTAAATTACGTTATTATTTATCTTTAACAGAATTTGGCACAAGGAGTGCGTTTACGCAGGGACAGCAGAACACAATCTGTACAGAACATACACTGTAAACGATCCGATGCAGGGCGGTTTTGTCCGCTTTAAAAAATGTTAATGGAAAACGACAAACTAATAACCAAATTATTTTGTATTTTACCAGGTAAAGCCCACTGAACAATATAGCTCTTTTTCAGAAGCGACCTGGCTATCACAGATGCTAGCTCATTCAACGAAGTGGCTTACTTGTGGCAATGTATTGCAGCCAAATACTGTAAACGCATGTGGATTCTAAATGCGAAGGGAAAAACCGGAGGACCCGGAGAAAAATCCACGGGGAGAAAGACACGCAAACTACAAATATACAGCAGCAGGCGTCAAGGGATGGGATCGAACCCACGACCCCCTGTATACCAGGCGAGGGAGTTAACATCTCGCCACACACGTCACGTGGAGAGGACTACATGTGGGCCCCATCATCATGGAAGCCGACTGACAGCATAAGAAGAAGAATATTATTCGTCAAGAAAAAGGGAGTTCATAATAAAGGTTTTTGGGTTAGATCGCGTTTATTTATAAATGTGTCGTAACCCTCCACCACCCGACACGGCCAATCAGCAAAGAAAAGTGTCACGTTGACAAAAGACAAATAATTCACTACTTCAGCCCACCGGTGTGTTGAAGAGTTAATCCACATTTACAGTTTGAGTACGACGTTTCGCTGGTAAATACTTCCAGCATCATCGGGCAATTCGCCAGAATGGTAAAGCCCTCGCTTGCTCCCGGTTTTATATAGAGCAGAAAGGGTGACGTCATCACTTAACTCATCAGGTGCAGTGATTAGAGGCACCTGATGAGTTAAGTGATGACGTCACCCTTTCTGCTCTATATAAAACCGGGAGCAAGCGAGGGCTTTACCATTCTGGCGAATTGCCCGATGATGCTGGAAGTATTTACCAGCGAAACGTCGTACTCAAACTGTAAATGTGGATTAACTCTTCAACACACCGGTGGGCTGAAGTAGTGAATTATTTGTCTTTTGTCAACGTGACACTTTTCTTTGCTGATTGGCCGTGTCGGGTGGTGGAGGGTTACGACACATTTATAAATAAACGCGATCTAACCCAAAAACCTTTATTATGAATAATATTGGTCGCGAAAGCCTACGTGTTAAACTGAAAAAGGGAGTTGTCTACCGACTTCCTAAACTACAGGTTGGTCCAGACTGTCTTGTGACCCTCCCGATTTAATTATCTAAAACTTAATAGTATTTTAAGGTAAGGCTCTTTGAAAATATAAATTTTATATGCAAAGGAAACAAATTAATTGGGGGGGGGGGGGGTCACAAGACATCGGGACCACCCTGTACATTACGAGTGAGCAATTGCGTCAATCAATTTATCACGTATGTATTTTCGAAATGTGGTTTGTGAATATCCACATGCTGGTAAAAACAAAATCCCCCCCCCCACACACACCACAACAACAACAACACCCAACTCTGGACAAAGCACGGGTGGCTTATGAGCGCGATGGCCAAAATCTTAAGAGAGCCTTAACAACAAAAAATAACCCGTATACGCGAGCTCCACAATTCACGGAATGTCACGTCACCACGAGAGTCAGAGCCCCACCCCACAATCAAATGGCACCGCATTTCTCAAGAGATTTTAACACGCGACAAGCGAGAGGGGAGATTCAAAGAATGCCTGGGGGTCATTGTGAATGAGGGGGTGGGGTGGGGGATCAAATGTGGGTGGGTGGGGGGTGGGTGGGGGGTGAGTGGGTGGGTGATGGTAAAGTTCCGCAGTGCTGCAGGGTGCGCGTGAAGGGAGGGAATGTCGCGGGACCAGTTTGACACGTTTTTACGCCAAAAAAACATCGCAACAAGAGCCGCATTTATATTCAAAAAGTTCGTGCCGGAGACGCGCCCGTACCAGAAAGCCAACCCCCCCACCACCACCGCCGCCGCCCCCGAATGGCCACCGAATCGACGCCGTGTTAAACATCACGCCGCGAACATTGTGTACACGAGATGTATATACTATAGACAGGGGGGACACATTACCTGCTCATCTAGTATCTACCACAAGGACGACAATAATCATCATCTTGCGCGAGGTCTCACGTGGGGAAGCGAGCCCCCTTGTTCATAAACATCAGGCAGTTCGTCAACCGGCGTTGGGTCACGCAAGCCTGACTGCTGACGACTCTGGTTTATTTTTTTATTAAACCATTTTTTATTTATCAGGTAACACCCATTGAGCTACTCTGTATAGCATTTTCTTCAGAAGCGAACTGGCCACAAATGACTGCTCAATCAAGTGGCTGATCACGTGGACATGTATAGCAGGCAAATACTCTAAACGCGTGTTTCTAAATGAACACATCGAATGTCGAAGCCGGTCTGGGCACAGAGTTTTGCTTGGATTGAACCACTGGCTGCTGAAGCTATGTACCCCCCCAGAAGGCCGTGGGGCCGATGGATGGTATGTCAAAAAGAGTATATATTATGTGTAGAGACAGACATGTATATGGAGACAGTCAGCTTATCTAATTTGGTACTAAAATATCGGCTTGGTTAACTGACATCCGAGAGCCATAGGATGAACCGTGTCCAAATGCCTAAAATCATTATGCATTGCTGTTGAGCAATAATTTGCAATTCTTACCGATCAAAGGCTGCCTATTTGCAAACCATTTACCAAAAGCTACTCGTACAACTAAAAAATGAGACTAAACATTTTATATATCACGGGATTGACAGATGGCTTAAGAATGGATGGGTGGGGGCTTCAGCAGTGGATTGACCCTGGTTAATGCGCGGTTAAACTTTTACCTCCATTATAAATTGGTTGCGTTGGCAAATATGCACCAGGCATCACCTATAAAACCCCAGATCTATCTCTAGAGAGGAATTGAATCGCAACTGGGCTCTTACTTGGTTAGAAATTAAGGCCATCTATAAATTGGCGATTGTAACATTTTTAACATAACCTTACGATGGTGTCAAGACTGGAATCTTAACACTTGCTAACCACACCAGCACATTACTCATCCATGATGCGGTGTTCAAAGGTCGCTTTTTATTTATAGTAAGACGGATGGGGTTTACCCTGATCATTTGCATACTTTTGAGTGATTATTATTTGATTATTATTTGCACACGTATGTGCAAATAATAATCAAATATAATCAAGTATGTGCAAATAATAATAATCAATCCACTGCTGGAGGGGTTCTTTAAACGCAGCTTGGGCGTTGGGGTCATTTGATCACCCTCTGGTAAAGACGTGGGGGGGGGGGGGGGGGGCCCAGAAGTACAGCAACACCTCCAGGTACTAAGTAGATGTGCGCCTGAAGCTTTGTTCGTATATTGAAAAAACATTAGTACTTTGAGGATACGTTCCCAGCCTTCGTAACTTACCATTTAATGCTATAAACCGGGTATAACTTAATATTCATATTGTAAACAACGACAAATGATATTTTAAAAAAAAAGTTAAACTGTACAGCGTTCAAATTTTAAAAAGCACAAATGAAAGAACCATTACGATGAGCAACGCTCCAGAATCCTGATTTACAGCAGATCGACATATATTAGTCACGTCGCGATTTCACTGCATTTATGTTTTTTTAGTTGTTTAAAGTAATGATGGTGAATCCAAACTTCCTTGTACCGAAACTTCGTTTATAGAATGTACACGTGTATACGATGCGTCTGCGCTGCCCTCTGTTGCCCCCAAAGTAGCACTGCAGCAGCCTATAGCGGTGGTGGAACACTGCATCTCGAGAATATCCCATTTCACCAGCCAAAAAAAGTATTTTAGAACATATTTACGTGAAAATAAGCGCTCGATATGTAATTGGCCATACGCACGGTAATTTCAATAATCGACTTTTGATTACTGGAGCGGTGACTTCAGGCGTGCTGGAATTATTTCGCCGCTTAATAAGTCACAGGTGTGACTGGCCAGAGTACTCGACTGACAATCCACAGGGGTACAAGTTCAATCCCCAGTCAGGGGTGGTTTTACGCTATAATCACCATTACTATCACCCACGATCACCCACGATCATCATCGCTATAGCCACACTCGCCATCACCACCCACCTTCGCTATCACCACACCTTCCATCACTATTCACCAAGGCTGTAATTATAAAATATTGGGGGGGGGGGGGGACGGGACACCCCCACCAATATTCAAATATGCTCAAAATGTCCCCCCCCCAATATATTACTATAAAATAGATTTCTGTTTATATGATTGTGGTTATGGTTGTACCTTATTAATCCCTAATCTCTGCCATTACATACAATGAAACGAGAAAAGTAAAAAAAAACAGAGCCATGTAATACAATACACTATTAGACATTGTAAAAAACAAAGAAAAAGTCCATGCGATGTGTTAGTGAATTTTTTAAAATATTTTAGGTAAGAAATATCAGGAAATTCGTTTTCAAATTTAGATTTTTTTCTGGGGGGGGGGGGCCACACCCCCTGGAAGATTTTGTCCCCCCCAATGTTGACTCCATGGCTACAGCCTTGCTATTCACCACCACTGCCACCCTCATCACTATCACTCTTGCGGTCGTGAAAAATAACGATCAAATTGTGGGAACTTTAGCAGTGAATGTTCTATGGAGGATATACAAAACGCCTACCATGGCAATGGGGACGTTCCACTTCTAGCTCAACAATGAGTTCCACCCCACCCCCATTGTCTGATGGAGCAGGCAGATAGTGAGTTTATAATTCACTTCCTTCACTTGATTTGACCGATAACGCAACAAAAACATGCTTCTAGATTTGAAGCTTTCGTGACTGCAAGGATCCATACTCTTTGGTTCTATTCGGTAAAGTCACATAGGTAAAAAATAAAACAACAAAAATCACGACGTTTCGGCCACAACGCAAGTGGCCTTCTTCAGGTAAAGGAACAGAACTGTCGTCCCGACAGAACTGTCGTCCCGACAGTTCTGTTCCTTCACCTGAAGAAGGCCACTTGTGTTGCGACCGAAACGTCGTGATTTGTTGTTTTATTTTTTACCTACGTGACTTTACCGAATAGAACCAAAGAGTATAAAAACATGCTTTGCCGTAGGCGTCACGCGACGAAGCGTCCTATTTCGGAACTGTTGCAGCTCGCCATCAGTGGGACGCTGCGGCGTTGCCCGATGACCCAAGGAAAATGGCCCAGCCCCATAGAACGACTTCCATATCAAGCCCCTTAAAACGAACTCTTTATCCTCAACAAGGGCACACCCCTCCCCCGCCCCCAGATCTGTATTTGTTTGTGCAATCAGTGGTATCCAGGCCGTAGGTCCATCAACTCGCTCGACTCGACAATCCGGGTTAACAGAACAAAACAAATCAACGGAGGCAGAAACCTGAAATTTGAATCACCCAAAATCTCAGCCGCGCCAAGTTCATCAGAGTACCTCCGACAGGGCCATTATGAGAACCTGTACCCCTTGAGCCACATGGGGAGCCACAGGGGGGCCCCCACTTGTAACAACAAAAAACGCGTCGTCCTCCTTACCAAAATGATCACGTTGCCGATGATCACCAGCCACTGCACGCACCCTGCGTTCGACTCCTTCGCCATGGTTCCCGCCCTGGGAAGGAATTGGCGACAGCGTTGTAAGTCTCACGAGCTTGGCACCGTTTGCGAGCGCTGCTGCCGCTGCCGTGGGACCACGGGACCACGCCCGCGGTCGCCGATGTTTGCGGACGGGCAGCCAGGCACGGGGAGCTTCACTTGAAGCGGAGAGAAGAAACCTCGCGGGGAAGGAGGATCGGAGCGGTTCGGATATCACTCGCCACCGATGTTAGCCGTGGCGTGGGAATTGAACCCAGAGGGTTGCGTAATGAAAAACGAACGCGCACTCGTACACGGATTCTGATGCAAAGGGGACACACACCCTTACAAGATAAAGATCCCCCGTAGAGCCTTAACAAACTGTTGGGGAAAGTGCTGTTAGCAAGCACCGATGAAGGCCCGCACGGCACACGAGAGGGTGGGTAGCCAACACCACCCCCGGCCGCCTTCGTCTCCCTAGTGACGTTGTATAAACACCGCACCAGGTACTCATTTGAGGCCGAGTCGACCTAGGGGAGGCCCAGGACCTGTACAGATTATCGTCACTGGTGTTGGCCGTGAGCGAGAACCGAACCCGGGTCACCAGGTTCGTAGCGCAGCGCGCACATTGCTTCACTGCCGCTCCCTTTTTACATTACACTTACAAACACGCGAACAAATGTACACACACACACATGCAGCGGCATTAGCACGCACAGACACGCAAACACGACAGTGAACGCCACCACGCACCACAAAAACACACGTGCACATATCGCAACGGGCACACGCAATGCAATAAGAGTCGCACCGACGTCAATGCATTCACAATGCACGCAAAATGATCCATCATCAAACGCGTTACAAAGTCGCGAACGCATTGAATTGACATTGCAGTAAAGCACATCGTCTCAAGCTTCGTAACCGCTAGCGATATTCACAATTGCCTCTGACATTACACGCCTTAGGTTATGAATCGAGTTTTATGGGAAAAAAACCCCATTTTAGTCGTAACAACGCGGTCAGAGAGAGCAGCAGCAGCAGCGGCGGCGGCCACCTTAGTGACGGGATGAAGGTTGGAGAGAAGTTGGGCGCACAGGGGGAAAAAAAAATGCCACACCTGGTGGGCGCACCGCAGTCGCGGGGCACTTTATACCCTCACGTGACGTCACGCAGGTGAGAAAACAGGTGGGGACGGTGAGACGTTACCGACAAGTGTGGGATCGTCACCGCCTCCCGTTCCTCTCCACCACCGATAAACTTCCACCACCACCATCATCGTCATCACCAGCCATGATCAATCTACAGCCCGTCGCCATATCTCATTGATCCTGCGATCAGTGAGAGATGACGAGGTGTTCAACATCCAGCGGTGGATAACAAAATAAATAAGCCGGCAAAACAACTCCTTCCCATATACGTCTCTACGTGTAAAAACAAAAATATATATTGTTACACACATCTCGGCCCAACTCGAAAGCGTTCCATTCGTTTGTCTTCCACTCCGTCATTATTCTTGCCGGTCCACCTCTCACGCCTTTTAGCCATGGCGTGTCCAGCCGAAGCATCACTCGCTTTAAGTCTCACTTTGAACGACGTCTTGCGAGCTTCGTGTGTTCTCAAATCCGTCTGTGTTCATCTTTCTGCATCTCAAGCGTGCGTCTTTCGCCGTGCTTTGCTATTGTTTTTTCGTTGTTGTTGCAACTTTTCATTTGTCGTTCCATGTTTGCTTGTCCGCGACCATGTTTCTGAACCATAATCTCATGCCAAGTAACGAATGCGACACCACAACCCATAAGGAAATGATGAAACATCGTGGAATTTCTACAGGCAAGCCTTTCTCAATCCACTGCTGAATGAATGCCTTCACTTTGACGTTGGTTCGACGTCTTGGTAGATGTGGGAGGTTATTTTCGTAAACGGCGATACAGGAATTAATATATATCGTTCCTGAATGCTGTGAATGTATTTTGTTGCTAGCTAATACACTACAGGAGAAATTCTCTTAAACTATGTTCTGACTCTTCCTATCATCCGTGATGGGGTTTTTTTAACCTTGCGTATAATAGGAGTAAAAATAATAGGATCCGTGACATGTGTCCCCCATATCACCGCGGACAATAGGAGTTCTTTCTATACAACGCTATAGAGTGGTAGGGACGGAGTTTGTCATCTGGGAGCGATAGATGTGTGGTATGCTCATGGTGAAAGAATTCAGAGATTTTGAGGAATGTACGTACGCAATACCCGTCTCTGCTTATCATGATCGTTAACCATGGCCTATCCACTGGTGGATGAAACCCATATCCACTGCTGGATGAATATCCTTCTCATCATCGTTACCAGCCATGATCTACCCACTACGCCGGATGTAGAAAGACCTCGCCGTCGCCTTAAGACATGGGTTGTATCCACTGCTGGATGAAGACCAGGTCATCGTCATCAGCCATGGTCTATCAACAACTGGATGAAGACTTTATATCAGGATCCATAGTCTATGAACTTCTGGATATATACGTCACCACCACCATCATCATGGTCTGTGAACTATCCACTGCTGGATGAAGACTTTACCGCCATCACGTGCCCACACAGCTGAATGACGACGTCACAATCATCGTGAGCCACGGTCGATCCGCCGCTGGATGGATTGTGACCTCACCATCGCCAAGACAACGGTTTATCCACATGTTAGACGAACGCGAAAGGGAACAAGCAAAAAGACCGGACAGTACAGACGTGGTGAGAACGATGGATTATTATTACATCAATTAGTGCGCCCACCCCTCCCTCATCTCGAGTCAAGGACGAGCGCGCCACCTGGCGGTGTTCATCGGGAGGTGCCGGGGGGCCTTAAGCGCGCTACGAAATCCAACCGAGCGTTGGCGACCCGTCAGCAGTGGCAGCGGAGCGCCGCTTTGGATTTCGTAGAGCGGTTGGGCGCCGCGGTGGCGTCAGCGCTGCGGATGTAACGATATCCTGCTTGGTGGCGGCTCGTTGCTGCTGCTGCTGATGATGCCGGTAGCGGTGGGAGGAGGATATCGAGGAAGAGGTTGGCTGCCGTGACGCGTTAATCCGTGTCTCCCCACTCCCCACCACCATCAACCACCAACACCACGGCATCTACCACGACCACCACCGACCCCCAACGTCGCGAGCCTGACCCATCATGAGGCCGGGCGACAGACCGTGATGGTGCCCTTGGCGGTGAACTCGGCATGGCCGTCACCCTGTCGCGCTGGCCAGACCCGTGCGGGATCTTCTGCGCGCTGCTCACATACGCGTGCGTCGGATATGCAGAGTACGCGTGTCTCGCAGCGGTGATACTGCCTGGCTACTCTGGCAGGTAGGTGACGAGTGACAGGTCGACTGACCCCCCCACAATCACCACCACCACCCACCACTCCCCAACCAGGAGTGTCCGTGGTCACTGTTGTGGCATTCGGCCCAGAGCTTACCGGTCGGGGGCTGAGCTCAGGAATACACTTGCGAAGTGTCCTGCGGCCGGCTGTGTTTATCACGTAACTACATTAACAATAACAACAGTAATAATGAGACCAATTGAATTCGAACGCGCACGGATATTGGCCGTGCATCTCGGGGAAGCTAAGCAGAGGTTGAGGCTGCCTCTCCGTACTTGGATGGGAGACTGCCTGCCTGGTGTCGTGATGTAAACTTGCGCTTGCCAGCTGGAGTTGTCGCAACAAGAGAGTTGGCTAACCACACGACTGGCTGACACCCACCCCCAACACGACCGACCCCGTATTCCACATCCTGCTGCGCCAGTTCGACTGCGTGCGTGGCAATTTGGTCATCTTCAATGTGCCACGGTCAATCCACCGCTGGACGGAACCCTCCTAAAACCGTCGCTTGTGTCGCGGATGTGCGATGCAACAGGCGCAGTAAGCATGCGAACTTTGGGCCAACTTTAGTTACGTGTTTACCGTGAACCGTCTTCCTAGTAGACGTGCCAAAGTTGGCACATCGCATGCTCTAGCTGTCTCTGCGTGTCTGTGTGTACGCGTTCGTGCGCCTCCGTCTTGGCCTGTTGCCCTTCTGCGCCGGTTTCAAACATTCAGGCTATGCCTGTCCACGATCCACCCTGGGGTTAACCAGCCCTGATTGTGTGAGCCACTCACAGATCCCTAAAAAGGTCTGGACACAGTCTCATCGGTGGACTCCTCCGGCAGGCGAGGCAGCGTTGGCTGGATCGTGTAGCCCGCTTGCCCAGCCATCGCGTGCCTAGCCACCGCGTGCCCAGCCACCGCGTGCCCAGCCACCGCGTGCCCAGCCACTCCTTGCCCAGCCACCGCTTGCCCAGCCACCGCGTGCCCAGCCACTCCTTGCCCAGCCACCGCTTGCCCAGCCACCGCTTGCCCAGCCACCCCTTGCCCAGCCACCGCATGCCCAAGCAGCTTCTGTTTGTCCGCATAGAGGGGGCTAATCGGGCGCGGCACGGGTTAGAGAAGAGATGGAGCTGATGCGGTACAACATGATGATGTGGAGTTGAGTGGACTTCCCGATGACCGGTACCAGCGGTGTCAAGTTGTGAAACTCTGTGGAGGAGGAGGCTCGTGAAGGACGCTGCGGCTGGGCAGTTGGAGGCAGTCGCCCTCCAGCAACAGCGGAAGGAGCGACGCTCACAACAACGAGCGGAGCGCCAGGCGTATAAAACGCATCAAGTTGGCACAGTGGGCAGCACAGTTGGTGCGTCTTCCAGTCATCTCGGGTTCACCATGCTGACACACGGGTCTGTTCTTGTGACTTGCCAGCGAGCCTTCGACACTTCACGTGGCCTCAACGTGCACCTAGCCTGGCATAGGCGAACGGCGGTTGTCGTAGCATGTGTGTAGATGTGTGCCTTTGTCGAAGGGGTAAATCATTGACTTTGCGTTTAACGCGGATCCGAGACGCGTTCGAACAGTACACAATCACCACCACTACCGCTGTAACAGTATCGCCCCTAGCGGGCGCTGGCAGGTTGTTGCCGTCTCATCTCCACCGCGTCCTGTCCAATGGCCCATTGATAATTATTAGAGAATGCAGTTTACCTCTTCTGCTGCTGACCATGCTGATGGAGCCCAGTGGGCATGCCAACGTTGATACGTGGTTCGGACCGTTGGCAGTCCACCGTTGGCAGTCCAACGTTGGCAGTCCACAGCCCAACGTTGGCAGTCCAACGTTGCGTGCCTACTGGGTGCTGACGATGCTGCTCGTGATGGCGGTGATAATGATCAGACTAATAATTATGTTGCTGAAGTCGCCGATGCGACTGTCGCTTGCTATCGCTTGCCATGTGGGGTGACGACGATGATAGTACGACTGCTGCTACTACCGTGGTGTCTGATTTACGACTATGCCATTTGTATCGCGCGCAATATGTCACAGACATGGAATTTGACCGCAAGTTTTCCCTCGTCGTTTGAAGGACAGGCGATAGGGCAGTGCCGGATGAAGCTAGTGCGGGGCCTGTAGCATTTAGCTAATTTTGCTACTAGGAGAATCCGGCACTGCGATAGAGGTGTCCAGAGCATTTAGGTGTCTCTGGAAAGGTCTCTCAGTGGAGATTGGCCACGTGCCACGCGGAGGGGGATGTCACGGGTCCCGGTTCTTTGTGTCGAGAGGAGGGAGGAGGTTGTGAGTTCTGCCATGAGCTGTAGTTGCTTGGCGACTTAGTAGTGTCGATGCAACCGCCTACGCCTGTAGCTGCAAAGCTGTCAACCCATACGATCTTACCCCGTGTTCTCGTCCAGAGAAATTGAGTTTTCAGGTCCATACGGTGTACAGTCGTTTCAACGTGGGCAAAAAAAAATGTCTATTTGTGTTTCTCCCTTGTGATGGGACTTTGTAGGATGAACGTTGAGATTTATAAGGGGCACGGGGTGACCAATAAGGTCTGGATTGTTCTGTAATAAGGTAGGGCACTGATAATGGGTTGACAGGTATGTGTTGTTTCTGTTTTTTTCTTTTCTTTCTGATGCTGCCGCTTCTGCTGATGCTGCTGGGAGGATGTTGATGGTGATGATTAAAGTGACCGTTGCAATGATCCCGGCCATACTTTGCAAGCAAAATACTGAACTTGCAGCAGATACAGACAGGCAGAATACATCTCGCAGGAATACTCACGCGACGCCAGTGACTCGGTGTGAACATGAGCAGCGACATTTAATGTTTGGTGGGGGCCTCGGGGACTGTTACATTGTTGGAGGGCCCTCTTGGTGGTTTAAATGCCTACACTTGATTGCCCACCACCCATGCCCGATGCCATCGCTATTCACCCTGGTTATTTCAGTTCCAGTGTTTACTTGTGATATATGAAATGTAAAGCTAAAGCAGAGATAAAACTAACAAAACTTTTTAATTTCCACGCAGTGATGCTCTGGCTTTAATTGCCAAATGACCTATCGGGTTAATCGTATATTATTACACTATATCACGTATTTTTTCAACGGTGATACCGCAGTTTTATTCTTCATATGGCTGATGTTGTTGAAGAGCAACAACTACATTGAAGTGCTTGAGGCAGACGATTGCGTCCGGAGTAGCGGAGTGGTGTGCCGCTGTGGTGATGCCTCCTCATCCAGTATTTGTGAATCCGGCCATTGAGTCTGTTATACGTTCCGTGGTTCTGTTCAGGGTGACCACAGCCGCCGCACACTGCCGGAGAGTTGACTTTTCCATTCGTGCAACAACATCAAGCGTCCACATCTGCTGCTGCTGCTGCCATGGTTTGTGTGTGGATGCGGTTTCATGGTTTCATGGCTGTGGCCATAAACTTCATAGAAGATCAAAGCCAGGGATCTCCTGCGTCCGGTCTTTCTTGAGCTGTTCGTGGTATCTTGTGAACTCATTTCGCCTTGCAAAGCATCATCAGGGTTGAAGTTGCGTTGTTGTAGGCTGCAGTATTCGATATTTGGGGGGGGGGGGGGGGCGGGGGGGTACTGGATCTCCGAGGCTCCGGACTACAGCGCCTAAAGCTCCTGCGTCAATCCTGAACGAAAACCCACAGGAATTGTACATTCACGCACAAACAGCAGATGCTCACACGCACGCACACACACATATGCACTTCTCACGACAGCAACAAAAACTCACAAAACGACATTTACAAAATGTGGCCGGGCGGCTTAGAGGTCAGAACGCCGAGCCGGCACAGCTGAGAACCTGGGTCTGAATCCAGGCAGCCGCCCGTGATTAAACCGGATGCATTCGGGGGTCTCCGACGTAGTTTTGGGATATTACCTTCTGCGGGATCTTCTCTAACACGAAGGGGTTGCACTACTCTGCGAAATATATTCTTGGTTCTTTCGGTAAAGTCACGTAGAAGGGAAACAATAAAATAATAACAGTATAAAACAATAAAATTATCACGACGTTTCGACTGCAACACAAGCAATCATCATCAGGTGTGAAAACCACAGCAAGAAAATTTGAAACAAGTGGCGGGTTTTTTTTTGACCTGCGAGAGTTTTGATGGGTTCTTGGCGTTCGCGATACCCGTATAGAATCCCTTGCATGAGAATTGATTACATTCGATTCGTATACGTTGTATGTAATTAGTTCACGTGAACCCTGATGACGGTGGGCGACCTAAGCAGCTACTTTCGGTGCTAAAACCTACCACAAATTAAATTTAGTGAAGAGGTCAATTTGTTAAGAGACCTGTTCGGTCCTCCTTGCCCTGAAAAAATGACATTGATATCTTGAACAGCATCAGTCTCGTACCCGGTGCGTGTACAGTGGGTGATCAAATATTCATGAAGATGTGGCGTGTTTGAGTATTCACTTTCCCATACTCGTCCATAGTCCTTGCCTCCAATCTTCCCTCAATCTCCATGTCCCAGTCCTGATGAATGAGGTGGTGGGTACAGGTAGGTTGTCGCAATATAATCTTTCACAATTCGGTACGAAGTGCCTGCTACCTTTTCCACAGTAGACCCAAACCCGTACACATTTCTCAGTGAGCACTGGATCTGCTAGACCTTTCAGTTCACTGTAATGAAGCTCAACACAATTCCACCAGTTCTCGGTACGAATCGCTTTCTGTCACCTGAACACAGATACCTTTTTCCGGACTATGCAGGTCAAATCTGGACAGGTGGCAACCCTAAAATATAATGTGATATTATCTCACGATATGACGATTATCGCAATGTAATTTTCCCGTAACTTTGCAATTGTATTTCACACGTTCATAGACGTGTGTGTTGTCCTTTGATGTACTTCAAGTAGGAATAAGGATTGCTTAAAGAGTTAATCAACTACAGTTCACTCAACATAAGCCTGCCGTAAGTATTCGAATTATTGTAAATTTACAATATGTAATGTTTAAAATGCTAACGCTGTCAAAAAATTATGACATTTCGTCGCACGCCATCAATTAGTGCATATAAATTATTTACAAAGCCCTAATTTAATGTTAATAGGAAGGTCTAAACAAGTTAAATAACTATTGTCCATGTTAATTATTGTTATTCCAGAAATATTTGACCAGGAGCGGAAATATAAAAAAAAACACACAAGTGAGGAACGATAATCATGATATGATTTTAACAAAATGTAATGTCCCGTAAACGAGAACGTGTGAGGCTGCCCTGCAGTAGCAGACTGGCACGTCCGAGGCGAGGGCACGGGTCCACGCGCTGCGTCAGTCCGCCACGTGCTCTGCTCCTTCTGCGCTCATGCCTGCCGATCCCGGCATGGAGACGTCTGTGCGGGCTGTGTGTGTAAACCACAGCCGGTGATCAAGTTTGAGGTTACTAAGTTCCGTTAGCGCTACGGTAACAACTTATATTCCGCTCTGATACGCTGGTTTAATTTCAACCTCGCTTCGTAGAGTTACGGAATGAGAGACGCTCTCTCCCCAGCGCCGCTCATTAATAATGACTGATGCGGAGATACGAGATCGGGGCGAGCGGCCGGGTGGGAAGGGATGGTGGTGATGGAATTGTGGGTGATGACGGAGAGGATGACGTGGAGCAGAGGATGCTGGTGCGTGCCGGCGATCCAGCGCCGTGGACGTGCGGGTTGGTGGGTCACGTAGAAGGCCCCGCGTGGCCAGGAGGTGGCAGAGCAGCAAGTTTTTTGAACACGCTTTGAGACTTGGTGACACTGGATGATGATGTAAATAATTATCGTGTTAATAAATTAGATTGATCTTTGTAATTTAGAGTCTGTGACGCGACTTTAGAAAAGATTGCCTTTGTGGCTGTGAAGCTAAATAATCTACCCCTCTTGGCCTTTCATTATCTTAAACATTACGCATAACCACAGCCCTAGACCTCGCTTGAACCCATGGTCCATCCTTTTTGTTGCAAAGTGATTGCTTCACATGATCCCGGCAGCCTCTGAAAAAGGTTCGGCATTCACCACAATACCAAAAATAAATACTTTAAAAAACACGCTTTAATGAAATGTACCGTACTCGTAATGGCAGAACTCCACGACTCCACGAAGTGGCCGCAAAGCTTGCCATAACGTAAGGGGCCGTGGTGATTTACAGCCAACGTGAGTTGAGCGTGGACAATTAGACCCAAGCCGAAACATAACAAAAAAATTAAAACAAAATTAAATGATGGAATATAGTATTGTCATCAGTATGACATCAGTTTACCAAGTTTGCAGTCGATACCACATTGGGAAGTGGGTTAAAATTTAGTGACAAGATTTGAGGATACGACGAAAACAACAACAGAGTGAGTTAATCGAAAGCGTGTAATAAAATCTGCTCCTCACTACAGTAGTTGCCTCCTGAGCACGATGGGCAGTGCTACGTGGTCTCCAGAAGTGCCGCGTCTTAACATCCTCATCCTGGGTTCTGTGCACGGTGTCACTTGTTAGCGTCCAAGATTCGTGACCATATGATTCTCTTGATATGCTTGTTGTCCGCTATAGTTGAATTTCTGAGCTTGTGAGATGTATCGTCGTCTGCCGATATCCTAAACACGAAATTATCATCTCCTCCTCGGTTATGTGAACATCTCCGGTGCAATGGCCAACACCCACGTGTCAGCTTATCCAAATTGAGATCACCTTCTTAGGGATGGACCGAGGCAGAACGCCGTTCACATTCCCGCGTCGCCGCTCCTTGCGAGCCACGAAGCGGCGCCGTCTCCAAGCGGCTCGGTCTTTCAAAATTCACGCGCGCACACAGAGCTCGTGGCGGGGACGGAGCCAGCGTTTGAACCAGAAATACAAATCCGCTGAGAACGGCCGCCCAGGGGCAGCAATCGCCGCACTTCGCACCGAAACAAGGGGGCGCGTTGTGAGCGAGCCGCAATGTTGCGCGCGTGTGATGGCAAGAGAGCGCAGGGCATGTCTCGTGAACAAGTGACATAACGCACGTGCAACACCGACACGTTTGTGCGCCCACCCGCGTGCAAAATAGCGCGCGCTTTGTCTCCAAATACGCCGCGTCTGCCGCCCCGTCCCCTAACGCGCAAAGGCACAAAGCCCTCGTCTGTTGGCCGACATCCTGGCCGTGCCCCCATCCCCCCCCCCCCCCCCCCCCCCCGAGCGTCCCTCCTTGAACTTATTCTCAGGAAGCGCGGCTCGATGCCACCGCCGCTGGCAGTGGGCCCTGTCTCGCGTTGCGTAATGCGGGGGCGAGTTGCCCGGCCGCTCCCTCGGCCCCGCCGTCGCGAGGTCGTGGCTCCGCTCGTCACGAGTTGTCCACGCTGACACCGCCACAGCGCAGAGATGCCGGGACAGGGGCTGGCACTAGCGGGAGGGGGGGGGGGCGGTGCTGGGGTGGCCCCCGCGCCACCAAATGTCCCTTGCCCCCCCCCCTCCACACCCAGGCTCACTCTCCCCTTGCGGTGAAACTTATCTTCTTGTGTAGATGTATGTGGCAGCGCCTTACTGCAAGGCGCTTTGCAACAGTTATAAATGTTGATTTAAAGCTTTCGTGACTGCAGGAATTCACACTCTTGGGTCTTTCAATCAAGTCACGTAAATAAAATAATAATAGATCACGACGTTTCGATCGCAAAACAAGCAATCGTCTCACCTGAAGACGATTGCTTGTGTCGTGATCTATTATTATTATTTTATTTACGTGACTTGATCGAAAGACCCAAGGGCATAGTTATAAATGTGTAAATAAGATCAGGTTAACACGTAGGATTTTGCGATCAATATCACGTACAACCAATTTGTAAGTAAACAAAGACAATGAGTGGTGTTACTAATGGTGGTGGTGTAGTTATGGTGGCAGAAGATCAGGTGGGAGTGGTTGAGGAGGGCTTGGGGTAGTGATAGAGGTTGGGGTAGTGATAGAGGTCGGGGGTTGGAGTAGTGATAGAGGTCGGGATTAGGGTAGTGATAGACGTTGGGGTGGTGATAGAGGTCGGGGATTGGGGTAGTGATAGAGGTCGGGGATTGGGGTAGTGATAGAGGTTGGGGTAGTGATAGAGGTTGGGGTGGTGATAGAGGTCGGGCTTGGGGTAGTGATAGAACATGGCTCCAGAAGGCCTATAGGTCTGGGTAATGCTCTCACCATGACCCCACAGGATTCATGAACGATGCAGTGTACGAATTACAGAAGCCTGTAACCGGCGGTTGATCTGTGAACCTCCTGTGCGAGCAGCGGTGCTTAATGTTGACCCCCCGCTGTGTCTGTCACCCCTTACCGTCGCCCTCCTTCCCCGTGCATCAGTGGCTGGTGGCGGTACCTCCACGCGTCCCTCTACACACTCGATATCCTCTTCCTCCTCGCTGCCCACACACGCGCCTTGCTCGCCGACCCAGGTGAGGCAGTGGCGGTGCAACTGCACCGGCGGGTGGGGGGAGGGGCGACCACTCGCGGTTGTCCGGGGGGGCCGGCGGTGCCAGGTTTGGGCAATGCAGGCAGCTCATTCCCATACAGATGGAGCAGCTGGAGTCGACACTCGCTCGGCCGCCTTCTCACGGAAGGTCAGGCTACAGAAACCTCGGCGCCCACTGGGAGTGGAGTTGCACAACACTCGCGTGCGATCCACTAACCCTCGCTGCCTCCAAAGGGCCGCGTGATGGATGTGTGCCACCACTGTCGGGGCGTCTCGTCCGCTGTGGGACCCCGTGCCGATCGACGCGCGGTAACCGACACGAACGCACCGGAGAGCTGCACTCCCCGACGCGCGGAAAGATGCGTTAGCCCGCGTCTCCTCATTTAAATCTTTAACTCAAATACTCTTGCACAATCCAGCTCGGGTACATGCTACGCGAACCGGCAGTGCGCAGTATTTAATTATTTATCCGTTTATTTTGTGTGTGCGATTGGATGTGACGTCCACCGCGCAAATGAAGAACTATTAAGTTACGGGTTTAAAATCTTCAGTTACGCGCCAAGTCGCGCGTTTGCTATGTTCGCCGCAACCGACACCCTGGACACCCTTGTTAATGAGACAGACGTTCCACCTCGGAGGGATTTTCGAGGGTGGGGACATTTTAACGAGTTCATTAAAACTGTCCGGCGCGCAAACCGCGAGAGCGGTGGCGACTTGTAAATATAACCGAGGAAGCTTCAGACTCGGCGAGGGACAGCGCGGAGGGGGGTGGTCGCGACACAGGCCGCGTGTGTGTATCACGACAAGACAATGGCTGCTTGTGCTTCTGAGCTGCATCTCCCTTTTAATGGACCGGTTTGGGGGGGGGGGGAGGCAGCTCGTTTGCAATAAAAGGTCCCATTATAGACTCAACGGCAGACTGTCGTTGAGGATTAATAGCGTGGCAGGCTTGCAGCGTCATAATCTGCCAGAGTCTATTTTCAGCTCATTATGTTGGCCCCCCGGCGGTGAGCTCACGGTAATCAGCTTCTGCCGAAAGATTTGCGGCCGCGTGCCGCGAAGATACCATGAAAATTAATCATCCGCGGCCCCTCTGTCACTCCACTGTTGGATGAAGTTCTGCCCGTGCAGTGGTGGTCGAGGTTGTTCGACCGCAGCTCACCAAGCTGCCGAGCGCGGGCTGCCGAAGGCGTGGGTGATCCTGGGCCGCTTCAGAGATCGCTCGCCACTGATGTTAGCCGTGGTCGCGGATCGAACTCGGCTCACTGTGTGCATGGACAAGTGTCCTGAACACCCTGCCACCGCTTCACCCGACTCAAATAAAAAAAAAAACTATATTGAGTACTAAACAGAAATACAAGGGTAAATATGAACTCCAAACATTAAAATAAAATGTTTAGTCCATCAATCTGAGTCTCAGCAGTATGTGGCCTGTTAAAACAATGCCACGAGGCTTCTTGATGTCATTGGATAACATCAGTGATCATTGGTTTCTGAACTTGTCCTGGACCTCCCATAGGTCAGCTCAGCCTTATTGGGGTACCTGGCGCAGTGTGTAAATGCCACCACTGGGGAGATAAAGGTGGCCGGGCGTGATTTTGAACATGGCCCCCTCGTGTGCCATGCTGACCTTAGGTGCTCGCGAACAGCACTTGCCCTTTTGAGTTTATATGTTTGAGTGTACGAAGATCTCCGTCTCTGTGTGTGTAGAGGTTTGTGCTGGTTCTAACGTGTGTCTTATGTAGAACTATCCGATCTGATTAAGTAATTGATTGCTCTACCGATTTATCCGTTCGGTTGCTCGACCAATCGGACAACACCCAAATAGTTGTTAAAAATAATTTCTCACCTCCTGTGCCACTGGACGGGAGGTAATGGGGGCGGGGCTTGGTGACTGAATTGGCATCATTGATCAGTCGTGCTTCACTCTGAGAATCGCTTTGTTGGGGGGTTTCCTGCCTTCCTTTTTCTTGATATTTTTTACAGTTTTTTTTATTACGACACATGGCGACATTCCAACAATAAACACGTGGTCTGGCGTTACAGGTCGTGCGCGTCCTTGTTTACAGGGCTCCATGTCGGTATTTTACAGGGTTGGCTAACCTTTCGTAGGTTTCCCACCTACCTCGAGGAAGGATTTTGTAGGCGCCGGCCGCCGTTATTACAGAGGGCCCCGAGTAACCAACCCCCCAAAAAATGGGAGTCATGGAGAATAACCTCTCGTCGATCGATCGACTTAATTGTTGCGCGACGCTCGTCTCACGCCCACCCCCCCCCCCCACCCCCCCCCCCCCCCCCCCCCCCCCCCCCCGGTTTGCTGCAGGTGTGGTCCCTCTGCCCGCGACAGCCATCGACTTCTCGGACATCCGCTCGAGCGCCACGCGTAACGGCGCGGAGCTGGTGCGTGACCTCGGCCCTCCGCCAAGCCGCTGCGCGCCCCGCCCGCCCTCCCTCCCGCCCGCCCCGCCCGCCCGCCACTCTCGCGCTCCCCCACGGACTAGACGGGCTTCCTCGTCCGTCTTACCCGCTGGAAACTGCATCGGTCAATAATACGGTGGCCTTAGAAAGAGATAGATATATACGTAATAGGCGATGTTTTAGGCGATCGCCCAACTTCATTGCACTTAATGGCCTGTCTTCATAGCACATAATACATTTATTGCACGTACATCATTTATGTGCTATGGCATTGCTAGACTCATCAGCTTTTATAAAAAACATTATTTTTAAGCCCGCAGTGTTACTGACACTGCGGTCTTACCCCCCAAGTTTATCCCACGTGCAATATTTGAATCAGGCCACGAGACGGAGAATCCATTCGGATGTCACATATAGCAGCGCATCGCCCCGTACGGTACAGAGTGACTGCACGCAAGCAGACATCCTGGAGCTAGCCATGAGATCCCTCCAAGTGACCTCTGGTTCAGAGGTTAGGCTCCAGAGGTCACACGGTAGGGGGGGGCATCACTTTTCTACCCACCCTGTTACAGAGAGCAATGCTTGTGACATGACAAATCAATTTTTTTTATTGTAATAATTCAGCCAATTGACGTGCAGCAACAAAATGAATTTGATGCGATGTTATTGTCGAGTGCTTTGTGCGGTGTGGAGTAAACATCGCCGCGAGGAAGACAAGGCGACAGAGCGTACGTGGTGCTGGCCACCCACCCCTTCGTGTGCTGTACCGGCCTTCATAGGTGCTCCCTAACGGCACTTGCCCCAACAGTCTGTTCAGGTTATACGTGGGATCTTTGTCTTGTGTGTGTGTGTGTGGTGCGGCGAGCAGGCCAGCGAGTCGTGGACCGTGTGCAATCGGTGCGAGGCGTACCGGCCTCCCCGGGCCCACCACTGTCGTGTGTGCCAACGCTGCATTCGACGCATGGACCATCACTGCCCCTGGTACCACTGCGTTGGGAGGGTATTCGGGGGGGGGGGGCAGGACAGGGATGCGGGAGTAGAGCAAGTAGGTTGTTGACTCTTGTAATGGTTGTAATGAAAATTTGCCAGTCAACTGCTGGATGCGGCCCTCTCCACACTCTGTTACTCTCGACTTCCTGGATCTCTTCCTGATGTTGTTTGACGTAGTTTCAAACGAAACGCCTTTATCAAATTGTCAAATTTGTCTTAGTTAAAACTTAGCTCGCTCAGACACGTGACGAGTAGTTTGTTCTACCACGTAGGGTGGTGGAGGGTTTTAACGACAAAGGTTTGGTCCGATCGATCGTTACGTCGCGGCCTAACCGAAACACAACCTTTTACGAATCGTAACATTGGCTGCTACACTCGCTCAGTCACACAGGCAGGCAGACATACTTCCCCCTTTCCTGCCCAGCCCCTTGACGGAGATTGCTGAGTTCACGCTCTTGGGACAGCAGCAGCAGCAGCAACAAGTCTCCTCTGTTAGCGGTCAATTTTCATCATCATCATCATCATATCCCATCTGCTGTCATTCCTGTCCACTCTCGTGCCTCCTCCATCCCTACCTCCTACCCCCCCCCCCCCGCCCCACCTCCCCCACCAGTCCATCTTATTCTCAGTCGTCCTCTACCTCTGTTTCCTTCCACCAGAGCAGGGGGTCAGCAACCGAAATAACTAGAAGGGCCCTTTTCTTTTCGAATTCGATACAAGACTCAATATTTCAAGAGGCACAATGCGCGCGAGTACGTACATACACACATTACATCGCAGAGCAGTCCAACCCCTGCACTAGCGGCTGCATCGCTTTTGCCGGATTCCTGTTTTGGTGGCATTATTCTAACGTGACCACAGCGGAAAGGCCGCACGTGTTTCGGCGAAGAATTAAAATTGACTCGACGCGACATAGCCACAGCCGCCTGCAGAATGTCGAAACCGGTCCACAGTTGTGCTTGCGTTGAACCGATGCTGCTGAAAAATCATGCCCTCCCAGAAGGCCGTGTGTCTGCTGAGATGTGCGTAAAAAAATAAACAATTACGTTCCTTTAATCCGGACGGACAGATATGTGAAGCAGGTGAATCGTTGGCTTCTTTATTTTGTTCCTCCCTATTATCGTCCCTTCCAACTTCAAGTTTCTCTCTTGGAGATGGACATGAGCTTGACACTAAGACATATACAGAATGTGTGCATATATATAAACACATAAAGGAGGTGTGTGTCTCAAGAGTAACCTGGGAGACCGGTGCCCGTGTGTATGTGTGTGTGTTTTTGTTCCTTTTCTGTTTATTTTTTGTTCTTTTAGATTCGCCCAAATATAAAGTGCGGTCCACCTGGCTCCCGCATGGCGCGGGACACCGAGGGCGCGGTTTGTAAACAGACCGCGAATCTCAGCGCTAGCAGCAATAGCAGCAGCAGTGGTAGCACCTCAAGTGAAATGCTGTCCAGCTCAATTTCGGAGGCATTTTCATCGATGATCTACCAAATATCTGGCGGTCCCCGGCGTTCATGGTCATAAACGCACGCTCGGAATTTACACCGAGAGAGAAATTGACACTGAGAGGCAGGATTCTCTCGTCAAGGGGCGTAAACCATCAAGTGAACCCCGGTCACCCTCGCAGCGGCTTTTGGCTGGGCCATCGAACAAAGACGGTCACCGCATCGCGCGCTTTGAGATGCGCTTCCGCGCCCGTCTGGAGCGCCCTTCCTTGTCACGTAAACGAAACGTGATAAGCAATACTGATTGGCTTTGTCGGGTGGTGGTGGGTTTAACGACACATATTTACGCGATATAACCCAAAAATATTCGTTGTTATGGACATACATAGGTCAAAGGACTACTGCTGAGGATCCCTTGAAAATCCCCTTATCCACACTAGGTGGTGCTGTATCGTCTCACATTCCCTGCTGTGGAGGTCTTCATCACAGCGCAATAAAATAAGATGCATTCGTTTGACTTCTGAGCTGGATATTTAGCCAAATGGAGCAAAACGCTAAGTTCGATACGACGGGGATATTTTTTTCTTCTGAGCAGTCATTGGTGGCCGAGCTGAGACCATCGGTCTACTACCCTGGTTTGATCGCGGGTAGCCGACGCCTGGATTCAAATCTCAGGACCTCAGCGGCGGTCCGGCCCGATGACCTGATAACCCCCAGAGCCCCTCCAACGCCACGTACGCAATTCGGTTTAAGAACAACAACAACAAAACGCGTCTTTCTGCAGCAAAATCCCAAGGTCTGTGGAAGCACAAACATTCCACGGCGTCTCCTTCTCGTTGGGAATCTCCGCTCGGCCGTCGCTCCATTCGCTGATGCAGAACCGTTTTGGGATCACGGTGGACAGGGGTGCGAATATTTTGATCATTTGTGGAATTGGCTCCGAGTCACCCTTGAATTGGACAACTGTGCAGCTTAATGGTGGGGGGGGGGGGGGGTAGGCTTCACACGGGACACAAAAACTTCTGACATCGGGGCCACCTTTGACTTTGCGTGCATTTTCCACGGGAGGAGGTGGGATGGTGGGCTGAGTTGACCTCCATCTGGGATTTGATGTCGCAACCGTCTAGAGACTCCCCGAGGAATGCGTAGATAAATAAAGGACATTGCTATTATAAACACTATGCTGCCGCAGTGGGTGATAACCTGAGTAAAATATAAAAGGTCTAGTGTGTGTTAATAGGTGCTCGCTCGCTGTCTGTGCACCTGTGTGAGTGTTTTACGAGTGCAATTGCACGTGCACATGGGTATGCACATGCATGCATGCGTGTGTCTGTTTATTTACATGTCCCTGTTATGTGTGCACGGGTCTGTGTGTGCGTGCGTGCACGGGGAGCGAGAGTGTAGCGGTTCGCACGTTGGGCTACGAACCGAGCAACCCGAGTTAGATTCCCGCTCACGGCCAACACCAGTGACGATTATTTGTCCTGGGTCACCCCGAGGTCGACTCAACCTCAAATTAGTACCTGGTGCGGTGGGTAAACACATCGCCACTGGGGAGACAAGGCAGCCAGGTGTGGTTCTGGCCACCCACCCCCCCGTGCGCCGTGCCGGCCTTCACAGGTGCTCGTGAACAGCACGTGCCCCAACAGTCTGTTAGAGGCTATATGGGGGACGTTTGCCTTTTGTGCGCGGATGTCTTTTCTCTGTTTAGATTTGCGTGTCCTCGGTAAGCGTGTATCGTCCGCAATTACGATAGTGTCTCTGTTTATGTGTCTGTGTTTGTGTACGTGTGACTTACGACCTCTTGCATCCTCACCGCTGCCGTCATCCCGGGCCGCTGTTTCGAGTTTAGCCAACACTTTGCGGGGATCCCACGCTGACGTTGCCTCGTCGTGTCGCATTCTTTCAGGATAAACAACTGCGTGGGGGAGCTGAATCAGAAGTACTTCATCCAGTTCCTCGTCTACACCGGTGGGTGTCCGTCGGGCCGCGTAACGATGCGTCCATCCCACAAATTAAAATCGGTTCTTGGGATCACGATACCAACATCGGACCCTGCACACTCTCCGCTCCAGCGGCCATTGTTATTTTATAATAATGATGATGGCATGAGTGTATATTACAAAGAGTTCATATTTGGGATTGTTGACTGATATGAAATGCGTTTTCTCAGTGTTGATATTCCATTTGGCAGTGGGCCAATCATGTCTGATTAAACCTCTTGTGATGAATTATGTACGAGTACGTACAGCAGCATGTGTGTACGTGTGTGTTTGTGGGAGCGGTAGTTAGCGCGCTGCGCTATGAACCTAGCGACCCGAGTTCGATTCCCGCTCACGGTCAACACCAGTGACGATTATCTACACTTTTTTTTTACCAGAAAAACCTCGCTGAGTCTCGAGACTCTTTTTCAGGAGGGTCCTGCCAAAATTTAGCAGTAGGGGTGGTGATGTTGCGTTGCTGCCTTGTGTGATCTTCAATCTAGTGGGCTAATTTGTGGCTAATCGGCCATCGTCAACACGCACCGTCTGCTTCGGAGTGGATATTGAAGATCCCGTGACGTCATCCGAAAGGAGCAGGCCTTCGCGTCCGGCATTACGATCACAACTGCTCGGTGCTCGGACAGTGCGTCAGCCCCCGAGAGAGAGACAGCCAGAGCCAGGGCTTTAACCATGAACACATGAACTCAGCAGCGCTGGCAAAGTGCTGGCACAGTGCGCTTGAAATGGCCATTATGAACGCACTGATTGAGCGACGCGGACGCAGCGCTTTAACCACAAACGCCAGGCGGCGCCGGTTACTCCCCCTGGGCCACCTCTGGGATGGCCACAGCTGGATGGTGTCCACTGCGCTGGGGCTCTTTTGTTTACATTTATGCCGATGGCGGAGGGGGGGGGGGGTCAGTGAGGGTGGGGGCAGTGGGGAAGGGACAGTGGGGGCCACGGGGGGGGGTTTCATGCTCGTGTGCCAGTGCGGCAGTGAGGGCGGCGAGATTCTTGGGAAGGCGCCCACCTGGGGATTGTGTTCGATCGCTCGCCCTGTGGATTGTGGTTCCGGCGGCCGCTCGTCCCGACGGTGCTAATCCCTGGCACATGCTCGCACGAGCGTGCGTTTCGTCCGTGATCTTCTTATGGGACGGACGCTCGTTTGCGTGCGTGTGTGCATCGTGTGTGTGGTGTGGTGTGTCCTTTGTTTGTTGCGTGTGTGAAATGTTTACATTAAGTGTGTGTGTGTGTCATGCGTGTCGATTGTATGTTTATTATATGATCTGCCAGTGATCTCAGTCATCGCATGGCACCTGGGTCTGTCCCGTGACCTGCCAGTGAGCCTTGGACACGTCATGTGGGCTTAAAATGCACCTGGCCTGGCACCAGTGCTGTGGTGACGTCACCGCCACTTAGTGGGGAATGGCGGCTGTTGTTGTAGTTGGCCATGTGCTGGTCGCGTGCCGTGTATGTTGCGTGTGTCGTATGCGCTGTACGTGCGGCTCACGTGTTGACTACGCGCGTTGTGTCTGTGCCCCAGGTATCGCCAGCATCTATGCACTCCTCCTGGTCCTTGCCAAGTTGGTGACGAGTGGCAAAGAGAAGAAACCTGAGGAGGAAGCGGAAAGCCAAGCCTCAGTGTAAGCAGAGTCGCTGTCACGACTCCATATGGGCTCGAGTGGTGGCGCAGTGGTTAGCGCTCTACGCTATCAACCCGGCAAGCCGAGTTAAATTCCTTGCCACAGCTACACCGGTCCTAGCCCCTCCCTTTAACCAACCCGCACTGACCATCTCTGTGACCTTCTCTGTGACCTTTGACCTTTGCTTCACAATAGGGGGCGGCACTTTCCCACCCGCCCTGCCGCAGACAGAAACGGCTGTCACACCGTTACTTACTAAGTCAAAACCGTTACTTAACTAGCCTATTTTTTCTCGGCAAGGCCCATTGAGCTATATACAGGTAGTCCCCGACTTACGATGCTCTGACTTACGATATTTCGATCTTACGATGGCGATAGCGATATGACAAAATTGTAAAATATTTTAAATGCCGCGCGGCAGCCAAACGCAGCAGCGTACGAGGTACGATACTGTAACTTTATCATCGCCATCTTCCTCTTCCGACAACTATGTTAATGTAGCCATCAACAACCTAAACATCGTTCAAGTATGCAGACGACGGACAGAATATTGGTGAGTACAGTAGAATATGATACGTTACAATACGTTCAATGCATGTATGATAACGTAGCTTTAGCGATTTCATTTTAGGATTACCACGATACGATACATTACATTCAATGCATGTAATTTTTTTTTTTATAGCAGATAGGATTGTTTCCTGAAAAAACTTTCTATGGAATTGCAGTTCATATAGGTAGGCTAAGAATTAACCTTGTTTTTTACTTTACATTTTACTGTGCAATACATTATGGTAATTAATAAATGCATACAGTATATAGCTTATACAGTATGGTACTGTAAATTGCTCCGTTTTGTTAAATTATCACTATTCTTTAAGACTCCTGGGTAGGCTAGGCCATTTTCGACTTACGATATTTTCGACTTACGATGGGGTCGTCGTAACGCATCTCCGTTGTAAGTCTACCTATAGCTCTCTTTTAGAAGCAACCTGGCCACAAATTGTGGTTCAACGTGGTGGCTTATCATGTGGACATTTATTGCAGCCAAATACTCCAAACGCACGTCGATTCTAAATGTGGAGGGAAAAACGGATGACCTGGAGAAAAATCCACGCGACCATGGGGAGATCATGGAAACTCCAAATATACAGCAGGCATCAGGGCTGGAATCGAATGCACGACCTCCTGTGTACCAGGCCAACCTGACTCCCCATAACATCCTTAAGGGCTGTAAATTACCCAAATCAAGGGCGGAACCAAATTTAACATGACGATGACACAATACGTGCTGTAAATTAATTAAAATACAGAAACTACGGTCAACGTTTTCAGTTAAAAGAACGTCGAGGAACTTTGTCCGAAATCATATGTGTTTATTTCTATTTCGAATTTTTCCCTAATTCACTTTCTGTTGCACCAGTGACATCGTGTTTTTCACGAGCTGAAGAAATATACGTTCCGAACTCTCACAGCGAGCAGCGTTACAGAACATCGTGTCAAAGATTGACGCCGGAAACATGACTTCATTGGTCCACTTCTGAAACCACTTGAGTAGCGTCATGTTCGCTGGTAAAGGCACACCTATTATATGTTCTGTGAATGGTGTTCATCATACGTCAATCAGACGTTTCATTGGGGGCCGGGGGGGGAATTTACAAAGCTGAAATATTTAAAATTAAGTGGAAATCAAATTGAACACGATGGGTGCGATGGGGGTGTTCTTGGCACAGGCGTAGGTGGCACAGTTGAGGCCATCAACTCTACGTGGATTTTTTGAAACGCACCGTTACCACAAATTCATCTCCGCGTATTTGAAGCGGCCTCGCTCGTGGCACAAGAACGCGCGCGTCTGCGTGTGTACGTGCGCCGCACCCCCCTCCTCCCGTCCCCCTCCTCCCTGCATTAGCACAGAATGCGTGGAATGTGAATGCAAACAAAGCTTGATTCGATTTTCCGCACCAATTTTGCCATCGCCACACATTCCGCGCAAAGGATGCGCGTGCCGCGTTCCATTTATCAATTATATCTCTTTTTTTATCTCTCAAATATTTTGCAATCCATTTTTTTCTTCTCTCTCCCTCTCTCAACTTCAATGGGGGCGGCCGTCGCTCCCTCCTCCCCTTGGAGCCTTTCCACGGAGTGTGGCGGCAAATTTCAGATCTGGTTTTTGTGACGCACGCGCTCACGCACGTCCCATTCCGGCGTTTTTTTTTTTTGGGCCGCGACTCTGCTCCGTGTGTTTTTGTTGGGAAGGTGCGAGAGACGTCTGCGGCCAAACAACCTGGTCGCTCGTTCCATCCACCGTGACGCACGCTTTGTGCCGTCTGTTGTCCACCCAACCGCTGGGCCACTCCAAGCAACGCGACCGACTGACGCTTGGCATTAGCGAAATACGCAAACCAAGAGGGAATCAACTCTTATCTCAAGTTTTAGCCCGCGGCCAATACTTCTCAGTCTCCAGCTTGAATCGTTGGAAACCCCACACGGTATTTATTTAGCTGTTTCTGTTTTTTTTTATTTCCCTGTTTTGGGTTTTCATCGTTTTAACACGTAGGGTCTCGCGATTAATATTATTCATAACAAAGGTTTTTGGGTTAGATCGCGTCAGTATAAATGTGTCGTAACCCTCCACCACCAGAATATTCTGGCAAATCGCCCAATGACGCTGGTTGATGTAATTACCAGCGTAACATCGTTCTACTCAAATTGTAAATGTTGTGGATTTACTCTCCAACACACCATTGGGCTGAAGTAGGAAGTAATTGGCGCGTTGTTTACGTGACAAACCTTACTGGCTGTGTCGGGTGGTGGAGGGTTACCACACATTTATACTGACGCGATCTAACTCAAAAACCTTTGATATGGGTTCCGATCCTCCTCCGTGAAAGAAGTTCAACATACATACACACATTTCCCGTACTACTCTCCTCTCTTTCCCAATCCTTTTCCTTTTTGTCATTCCTACTCCCCTTTCCCGGTTGCTTTATTTCCTGGTTGTCTCGCCCGACTGCTTTCCGATTGGCCACGCCCTTTGCATAAATTGAGGCCGTGAAGCAGAAAGTGGCCGTGGAAGAGCCACAGAGACGTTAGAAAGCAATACCTTGAACGTAATCGGGAAAAGGCGTCCTTGGCTCGTGCGGCTGTCAGCCCGCTCACGATCATACCTGTGAGCCACCGTCATTGTCCGGTTTGTGCGGTGCCAAGCCTTGTACACACATCTTGTCTTTGTAGCTGCACAACAACGTGAGCTCAAGCGCTTCCAGATCGCGAACAGCGGCGCACTTGTTGTTGTTGTTGGCGATCTATGGGAGCTTCTCTATCAGTATCAAGATATTGAATGATTACAAAATAAAGCTTCACCCTTTCTGGTATAAATACACGAGGTGTTAAGATGTTCAAACACCAAATAGACAACCTATTAACAAGCTTTGATTCGGCGTGAACAACACATACCTGTGGTAGAAAAACGCAAATAAACATGCTTTGATGCTGTGCGAGCTGTCCTTGGAACAGATGTCTCGAGAATTTTTCTTAGTAGATGAACTCTGCAGAATAATTTCGTAATTTTGTATTTTGCTTTTGCACCACGTGTCGGTCCAACCGGCGTGGAATGGCTCCACAGTGGTCATGAACTCCGCGACCTGATTTCTATGTCCTGCCACGGCTAACGTTGGCGGCGTGGGCGATATTTGAACTGCTTCCAGATCCCCACTTCACTAACGCGCACTGACCACCAGCGCGTGGCCAAGTGTGGTGAAACAACCTCGCTGGCACAAAACGGCAGGGGGAGGAAAAGAAGAGGCCCTCATCCAGCAGTGGATTGAGCATTCACTATCTAATACAAGACGGGTGGAGCGGTGACGCGGCAGTCAGGTCACCGAGCTAGGAACCCGTCCGCCCGAGTTCTACTCCTGGCCAGGGCTAACGTCAGTGGTGAAGCACGGTCAGACAACCCCCAGGATCGACGTGGCACAGGGGAGGCCCTTCATCCAGCGACGGAGTTGCAAAGGGGAGCTGCATACGGCTACAGTGAGATGCGTGTGCCGTCGCACTACGCCGCGAGGACGCGTCCTTCGCCTTTTGCGTTTTGTAAATTCTGAATGAACCAAAGAATAACATATTCTTGGGTCTTTCGGTAAAGTCACGTAGATAGGTTCAAAGAAAATAACCATTCTCTAAACCTATCTACGTGACTTTACCGAAAGAGCCAAGAATATGAATTCCTGCAGTCACGAAAGCTTTAAGTCAAGATTCAAAGAATAACAGTTCTACGAAAGGGCACAAAAACAGGCTTTGAATCCCGCACCACAAGACGTCTCGGTGACGATCGTCGGAGGTTTCCTGAGTTCCGTTCCTCGTGACACGCCACGCTGCTGCGCCTTTTCCAGCACACCGATGCACAGTACCCGCATTTTAAGCACGGATTTCGTTGCTACGCGCTTGCACGCGCCTGACGATTGCTAAACATTTTTTTTTCCACGCGACGGAGAGAGAGGAGCCCGCTGTTTCGAATTGAGTTAGAGATCTTGTGTGTACGTGTGTGTGTGTGCGTGCTTCCGTTCGTGTTAGCAAACGCCTATAAACGGTCACTACTATACACGACCACACCTGCACAATTGCACAACAACAACAGCCATTCGCTACTAAGTGGCGGTGACGTTACCACCGCGCCTCTGCCAGGCCAGGTGCACCTTTGAGGCCACGTGAAGTGTCAAAGTCCTGCTGGCAGGAGGCCACAGAACAGACCCAGGTGCCATGGGTTGACTGACTGAGATGACTGGCAGATGCACCACCTGTACTCCCCGCCGTGCCAACTCTCTGCGTTTTAGCAAACACGCACACACACAGGCAGTGGTGTACGTACACACACACTTGTATACACACCCCTTCGCGTGTGGGTAAGAGGTAACTTGAAGGAATCTGAGAGGCAGCTCTGTGATATCCGCTCCCCTGAGCCGTTCTCTAACACAAAGGGTCACACACTGCTTTGGGAGAGT